TCCTATCGTGTCTACAATTGTCGTCACACCGGAGATAACAGTTCGCAGGAACTGTTGACTGTTCCATTTAATGATAATCTGTCTCAAAATTGAAGAACAATATCTTTCGATATCAGTTTATTATCACAGTAAATGCAAACTGATAAAACATGAGTAACGACCTTGATTCTTGTCGCTGTTACAGTCCTAATTCTGTAGAGGCTTACATAAGGATGCACATTAGGTGTATATACAACAACAATACACATTAGTAACGTGTATGTTCAAATTAAAAGTTATATATTAATTTTTGCACAAACAATGTATCTCTACCATTAAGTTCATAGTTATTATCATTAAAAATATTCAAAGCTTTTCGTCAGTAAAGTGGCATTTGCCTGAATGCATACATGACTACAAAGCATACAAAAACATTTGCCATAATAATCTGCTTACTTAGCATGATCTGAAAACATATAAATGAAGGCCTAGAAGTTACTTAGGAAAGTACCAGTTAGGGTTTCAGAGTAATACTCGGTAACATTACTAAGACAGTGATATATAGTTTTTGAGTTAATTTTTCCGTTTTAAAGGTGAAATACAGTTAATATCCAGTCACTTGGTAAACTATTCCAGGCATTAATACTGGCGATAAGAATTTGTCTAGAATAATAATAAAAAAAAATCCCCCAATAAACCAAATAATATGTTTTTGCACTCTGAAATTATTTTTACATGCATGTCTTGTATTTTTACTGTAACCATCTCCCACAAGGGATATACTGTTTGATACATATTCAGGAACACGCTGACAACTGTATTTATACAGCTCACACAACCTTCTATACCTGTAGCATACCTTGTATCTCTACTGTGACCATCTCCCTCAAATGCTTTTGGCGTGGTGTCTCAATAAGAGAGCAGTCTAAAGACGGCATCCAGCATCCTACACCGCCTCTAACACACGTACATACAGCATCCTACACCGCCTCTAACACACGTACATCCAGCATCCTACACCGCCTCTAACACACGTACATACAGCATCATACACAACCTCTAACACACGTACATACAGCATCCTACACCGCCTCTAACACACGTACATACAGCATCATACACCGCCTCTAACACACGTACATACAGCATCCTACACCGCCTCTAACACAAGTACATACACGTGTATACATTCTACACCGCCTCTAACACACGTACAAACAGCATCCTACACCGCCTCTACCACACGTACATACACGTGTATACAACCTTCACCGCCTCTAACACACGTACATACAGCATCATACACCACCTCTAACACACGTACATACACGTGTATACATCCTCGCCGCCTCTAACACACGTACAAACAGCACCCTACACCGCCTCTAACACACGTACATACACGTGTATACATCCTACACCGCCTCTAACACACGTACATACAGCATCATACACCACCTCTAACCCACGTACATACACGTGTATACATCCTCGCCGCCTCTAACCCACGTACAAACAGCACCCTACACCGCCTCTAACCCACGTACATACACGTGTATACATCCTTCACCGCCCCTAACACACGTACATACACGTGTATACATCCTACGCCGCCTCTAACACACGTACATACACGTGTATACAACCTTCACCGCCTCTAACACACGTACATACGGCATCATACACCACCTCTAACACACGTACATACCCGTGTATACATCCTCGCCGCCTCTAACACACGTACAAACAGCACCCTACCCCGCCTCTAACACACGTACATGCACGTGTATACATCCTCCACCGCCTCTAACACACGTAGATACAGCATCCTACACCGCCTCTAACACCACCGCCTCTAACACACGTACATACACGTGTATACATCCTTCACCGCCTCTAACACACGTACATACACGTGTATACATCCTACACCGCCTCTAACACTCGTTAATACAGTATCATACACCGCCTCTAACACACGTACATACAGCATCCTACACCGCCCCTTACACACGTACATACAAATATATACATTTTATACCTGAAGGTACGTCCTAATATTTCTTTAGCCGTTAACAGGACGTGAAACGCAATACAATTTAAATAGAAGGACATTCAACCATTTGATACTGATTGTTGGAAAGTCGATCATAAGGTCGCCGCAGCCACGATTGTAAAAGATGGCGCTCCTGGATACCGGCTAACAAATGACACATTGCTTTTCTCTGTGGAAGCACAGTCTATCTATCTCGCCATTGGACACGTTAAAGTCACGTATCTATTCTCATTCCCTGTCTAGTCTACAGAACCTGCGCAACAAGAATTTGAAGAATATTTCAATATGTAAAATAATAACATCTTTACATAGTATGACCTTTAAATGTCACATTGTATTATGATGGGTTCCCGGCCATCAGTAAATACCAGGTAATGAAAAGACTGATAGTAGTGCCGAAGCGTCTTTATTGCTACCACCTGCTGATTTGAAACATCATTTTACACATTTTAAACCCGTAATAACAAATTTCGTAATGCCAGAGTAGTAAGATAATTAGAATTAATGTACAGGCAACAAATGAAGCTCTGCAAAACATATACAAGCTTCCTAGAATGATGTAAAGAATGAAATATCAATGTTAAATTGGTCTAGAAAACGCTTGTTATAAATTCTATGTAACGGTATATCAAAGACTATGATAAACATAGGAAAACCACAGGACGACGATGATAAACACAGGAAACCACAGGACGCCGATGATAAACACAGGAAACCACAGGAAGACGATAATAAACACAGGAAACCACAGGAAGACGAAAATAAACACAGGAAACCACAGGAAGACGATGATAAACACAGGAAACCACAGGACGACGATGATAAACACAGGAAACCACAGGACGACGATGATAAACACAGGAAACCACAGGAAGACGATGATTAACACTGTAAACCACAGGAAGACTATGATAAACACAGGAAACCACAGGACGACGATGATAAACACAGGAAACCACAGGAAGACGATAATAAACACAGGAAACCACAGGAAGACGATAATAAACACAGGAAACCACAGGACGACGATGATTAACACAGTAAACCACAGGAAGACTATGATAAACACAGGAAACCACAGGACAACGATGATAAACACAGCAAACCACAGGACGACGATGATAAACACAGGAAACCACAGGAAGACTATGATAAACACAGGAAACCACAGGACGACGATGATAAACACAGGAAACCACAGGAAGACGATGATAAACACATGAAACCACAGGAAGACGATGATAAACACAGAAAACCACAGGAAGACTATGATAAACACAGTAAACCACAGGACGACGATGATAAACACAGTAAACCACAGGAAGACGATGATAAACACAGGAAACCACAGGAAGAATATGATAAACACAGGAAAACACAGGAAGACGATGATACACACATGAAACCACAGGGAGACGATGATAAACACATGAAACAACAGGAAGACGATGATAAACACAGGAAGCCGCAGGACGACGATGATAAACACAGAAAACCACAGGAAGACGATGAAAAACACATGAAACCACAGGGAGACGATGATAAACACAGAAAACCACAGGAAGACTATGATAAACACAGTACACCACAGTAAGACGATGATAAACACAGGAAACCACAGGACGACGATGATAAACAAGGAAACCACAGGAAGACTATGATAAACACAGGAAACCACAGGATGACGATGATAAACACAGGAAACCACAGGAAGACGATGATAAACACATGAAACCACAGGAAGACTGTGATAAACACAGGAAACCACAGGAAGACGATGATAAACACAGGAAACCACAGGACGACGATGATAAACACAGGAAGCCACAGGACGACGATGATAAACACAGGAAACCACAGGAAGACGATGATAAATACAGTAAACCACAGGAAGACTATGATAAACACAGGAAACCACAGGACGACGATGATAAACACAGGAACCCACAGGAAGACGATGATAAACTCAGGAAACCACAGGAAGATGATGATAAACACAGGAAACCCAAGGACGACGATGATAAACACAGGCAACCACAGGAAGACGATGATAATCACAGGAAACCACAGGACGACGATGATAAACACAGGAAAACACAGGACGACGATGATAAACACAGGAACCCACAGGAAGACGATGATAAACTCAGGAAACCACAGGAAGACGATGCTAAACACAGTAAACCACAGCAAGACGATGATAAACACAGTAAACCACAGGAAGACGATGACAAACGTCCTACACACAACTGTGTGTTCGGGGACGGGGAGTGGGGGCTACAAACGTCCTACACACAGCTGTGTGTTCGGGGACGGGGAGTGGGGGCTACAAACGTCCTACACACACCAATTTTGGTTTCTTAATTGGCCCGGGAACAGAAGACACGGAGCACCTCATGCCTGGGTCCATGCAAGTGTCCTTCACCCTAACCCTAACCCTAACCCTAACACTAAAATACCGAGGTTATATTCTTTCTCCGAAGATAATAATGTAACAGAAGAAGGAAAGCATGGAATCACGTGACAGTTACATTTTTTAAGATAAGTAGGCTATAACATACACTAGTAAGGAATATGTGTGTCGAAAAAATGAACGCGATGAAGTGATCACGGGTACATACCTAAAACTAAGTATTCAATAAAGATAACGCAACACAGATAAAGCTAACGTTATCTAACAGACATGTTAAAGGGGTCGTAGCGAGGAGGGCGGAACACGACGGATCACTGAGAAATGGGACTCCTAGTTCTTGTTGTCGTTTTGACGATGTTACAGGTAAGAAGTTATTGAAATAATAAATTACATGACTATAAACATATTTTATTAACCAGAATTGGAAAATAGGATTTGGCACAAGTTATTACAACTGATGAAGTCATCTCCTTACAACAATAGTTCAAACAATAGATAATGATGGTATAGACTGTCAATTATAATTCATAGTAGTATGAAACGATTTTTAAAGTAACACATACACATACAAACAAACAAAAACAAAAACATATTCTAAAGTCATGTTCATGATAATCGAAACATGTTAAAATCTTCCACTGGATCTAGTAACAGTTTGCACTTGTTTGAATACATCACAATTTGTATCCAAAGCCAGATTCTCATTTTAAACAGTAATAATCTCAACGTTAAATATACATTTGAATGATTTATATGATCAAAAAGTACAGTACGAGCATTTGTGTAAGGTTGACATTCTAAGAAGAAGTGATAGGCATTTTCGCAATAGTAGCCACAGTTTATAGGGACCTGGAGGCTTTAAATACATGTAGGTGGGCTAACACTTGGCTTGTTACTTTCAATCCAAATATGACGGAAGTTATTTTCATATCAAATTCAAATGATATAGATGAAGATCTTGAACTGATTTTTGATGGAAATATTTTGAATTTTAACAGTATGCATAGGCACCTTGAAGTTACATTCAATTCAGATGCAAAATGGTCAGATTAATGTAAGTGAAATCTATAAATCGGTAATGAAAAACAAATTGTTTTGCGAAAACTCAAATATATGTTGAAGCCAAGTGTTAGTCCATCTATCTAAAGCTTCCAGGTCCCTATTCAAAACTGTTTGTAAAGACGTATCGTCAGCAAAAAGACGTGTTGTAGATTCTAGTACTTCCGCGATATCATTGATATAAATTAAGAAAATTAAAGGTCCAAGAATCGAACCCTGAGGAACTCCAGCACATATCAAACCAGCATCAGAAGAATTATTATTTATAAACACTTTCTGTTGTCTGTTGCTTAAGTAGATTTCGATCCAAGAAAGGAAATTTCCTGAGATACCACATGCTTTTAACTTGATTAATAAACCATTACGCCAGACTCAATGTCAAAAGCTTTCGAGATGTCACAGAACACTAAACAAGTATGCTTCTTTTCTTCTAGATCAAGACAAATATTATGATATAACTCGATTAATTGATACACAGCTGAGTGGCCAGGCATAAATCCTGATTGGTACTGATAAAATAGAGAATTTTCAAAAAAAAAATTATGCAAGTACTTAAAGATAACCCTTTCAAATGTTTTACCAACCGTAGACAAAAGAGAGGTGGGGGCAAAATTTAGGAAAATGGTTAAAATACATAACTTTTAAAGAAACTTCTTAGGCTGGGGGGGGGGGTTTCCTGGGTGGATGTTGCGGTATCTGGGCCGTTGCATTGATAAAGGTGGCACTATAAAAGATGCCGTTGGAAGCACGGTCCCACTACAAACAGAATTCAATACATCTCCAGCACACACGCAGGCATACACACAGCTATAATCGATCGAGGACATTTATTCGAATGTCTCATGTGTACACGATATGGTGGTGAGGGAATATGATTAATTTTACTTGTTGCGGACATGATATTGTTGTTTCATGATTTATATGTCTATCTATATTGGTAATGAGATGCTGATATAGATCGAGCTCAACAAATTATACCAATCACACAAATACCACCGCCTGTCAACATATCATACATTCCCAATCACACAGATATCACCCCCTGTCAACAATCCTACAAACCTCCTACTATACCGATCACACAGATATCAACGTCTGTCAACATATTATACAGTACCAATCATACAGATAAGACCGCCTGTCAACAAACCTGAAAACATCCTACTATACCAATCACACAGATATCACCGCCTGTCAACAAACCTACAAAACTCCTACTATACCAATCACACAGATATCCCCGCCTGTCAACAAACCTACAAAACTCCTACTATACCAATCACACAGATATCCCCGCCTGTCAACATATTATCCCGATCACAAAGATATCACCGCCTGTCAACAAACGTACAAGCCTCCTACTATACCGATCACACAGATATCAACGTCTATCAACATATTATACAGTACCAATCATACAAATAAGACCGCCTGTCAACAAACCTACAAACATCCTAATATACTAATCACACAGATATCACCGCCTGTCAACAAACCTACAAACATCCTAATATACCAATCACACATATATCACCGCCTGTCAACATATTATACCGATCACAAAGATATCAC